ATGTAAAAGGAAAAAAGGAACAAATTAGTATGAAAAAATTAAGAAAGAAAGTAATACAATAGGGGCTCTCGTAGCCTAGTGGTTAGTGCATGTGCCTCATGTACGGAGGCTGTGGTCCTCCAAGCGGGCGGCCTTGGGTTCGAGTCTGACCTGTGGCTCCTTTCCCGCATGTCATTCCCCACTCTCTCTCTCTCTCCTGATTTCTGACTCTATCTGTCCTGTCTCTAATAAGATGCATAAGCCCCAAAATAAAACCAAATAAAATGATGAAATATGTCTCATATTAAGAATCAGGTTTATTGCCAAATAGTATTTACTCACAATGACTTTAGCTCAGCCTGTTAGCTCATACAGTAATCAATAAGAAGAAAGCCTCATTAAGCTAATTCCCCTGTTTGTCTGTGAGCTGAAGGTCACTCATCTTCAGTCTGGTTCTGGTGAGTTTTGAGGTCCTTTTAAGGAGCTGGCAGATCTTAAAACACTCTAAAGAGACCCCCCCCCCTCTTTCCCTGTGTGTAAAAACACTCACTTTCTTTTCTCTTCAGTATGATTAGGCTGCTGGAGTGTCTGTGCCGTAGTGAGGATCAAAGTCGGTGTATATCCTCTGTGGGGGCCTGGATCTGTGAGTGTAGAGTTCACTGCTTCTAAAAAAAAAAGAGAGCCACCTCTCCTGTGGACTTAATAAGCGAGTGGGATGTGGCCGGTGGATGCTGTGTGCCAAGAATAAGGCTGGGAGCAGGGGAGAAAAAAAAATACATAAAGAAAGACTTGGAGAAAAAGAAGTGAGGTGGGAGCTAAATGAAGACTTTTAAATGTGAATCTGACGGCTGCTCGCTGCAGCATGGCGGGGACGAGGACAGCTCACAGTGAAGGAGAAATGAAAACTCACCCAGCATGACCACTGCCCTTGGCCACTGTCCATCTGACAGCAGCTGCCCATGGGTGTCGGTGTGGGGAGAGCTTTGTCTGTAAGCATGCATGTGAGTCTCTATGCACAGGGACAAAGTGTCCGCCTGTTTATCTGCCTTTGTAAATAAAAATAATCAGATTCACTGTGCAACCATAATCTGGATGAATTTTAAAACGTAGCCAAGGAGGTAAACTCTCCAGTTCTCCAGTCTGTGACGTGGGGCTCATTCATTAACCATTAGACGAGCTAGTTAAGCTTTTCGTTTGCACAAAATAAGATGCTTTTTGTTGTGATAGCTTATTAGGGCTGGTTAAAAATGTCGATTCATGACTGCATTGCAATTATTATTTGCCCAATTCAATATCGATTCAGGGAAATCCCGAGATCGATTTTTTTTAGTTGTAATGACGCCTCCTTTCCACTTGGGGCGCTGTGAATTCAGGTCAGGTGCAATAGTGTACTTTATATATAGTTTTGTCCGTGCCTTTACAGCACTGATATTTTTATTACGATTTTACTGCAAATTCAGCTCAGACACAAATGTGCACTTTAGATCACATTGTACTTTAATGTTTTATTCTTTTTTTAATTAAAGAATAATGCAACGATAAAATACATTTTTAAGTCTGTTTGTTGTAAACAAATACAAACAATGCACACATAGTTATTTAACAAATATCAGAAGGTACTGTGATGAGTTATCTGGGTATTCTTGTCATCTATGTATGTGTATTATTAAATTAATGTCGAAGCATATTGATCGATATCAGAAAGAATCCTGACCCACAGAATTAAAATCAAATTGAATTGGGAGGTTGAGTCCATAGCCAGCTCTACAGCTGACTGTATTTGTTGATTTATCAGTATAAAGAGGCCGAACACGTCTTTGTAGCAGGCTGAAAACATTTGTGCATTTTAATGAAGGTCGTAATGGGTATTGACTCGCCTTTTGGAGCCACCCTCGTGTGGCCACTACAGGAACTGCACGTTGTTCCACTGTAGCTTTCTTTCTTGTCGCCTTCTCGCGTGCAGCACTGCAGCAACCTGAGGTGCACTCCAGCACACAGACACAGTCCTGTCATGTCGCCACAGTTGTTAAAAATGGATTTCTACACATGTCGCCTCCCATGAAAGTGTGTTAGGATTTTTATAAAGCGGCTCATCTCGTTCTTCTTTTTTTTATTCATGAGTCTTCTTGCCGTGGAGTCCCTTCCAGGTCGTGTCGTTTTTTTTTTCCCCCCTTGAGCCAAAGGCGGCTGTCGGAGGTCTTTTGTATTCAGTGAGAGTAGTTTATTGCCCTCTCACTGGCTGTGGAAGAGAGGGGAGGGGGGGCGAGTGGGCTGAGCAGGTGGACAGCCAGACCCTGTTTTATGAGATGATGGTGGGAGGCTGCAAGTGGTGCACTGTGGGGAAATGCATCCTCTGATTCCACATCAAGGCCCGTTTTTTTTTTAATCAGAGAGTAATTAACATGAAATTACACACCGGGTAATAATCCAGGAGATGGATGTGTAATCATGTTTGCTGCGGTGTTTATTTTGTAGCACGCAGCATATTTGCAGCAGTTCTTCTTTTATTTGCCTCGATTAAGATTTCTGTTTGTTCAAGATCAGTCGATGCACAGGAAATAGATCGGCAACTATTTTGACTTAATATTAAGCCAGTTTATAAAAGAGATAAATATCTTTGTGTTCAAGCTCACACATCGTAGAATTTGCTGTTATGTTTTGTGTTATGTTACAATAAACTGAATTTCTTTTTGACCGCTTTAGCTGTTAGCGGTCGGACTAAACAAGACATTCAGTCGGCTTTGAAACAATTCAAAATGTATAACAATTTCCTATAAGCAGAGATGGGACCGATCTGATCTAATATCGGTATTGGGTATTGGCGCCCTGTCACTTTGAAAGATTTGATTTGAAAAACCTGACAGCTGCTTCCTGTTTGTATGTGAAGCCAGCACAATGCACCGCAATGCTGGGTTTACTATGAGACATTCAAAGACACTAAGAACAAATTGAAACAGCAAATGTTTGTCAAGATCATTATCGTTTTATAAAATAATTTCTTTCATTTGTGAAGTTTTTCTTCTCTTTCATTGCACAATTACTGAAGCTCACTGGATTTCACCCCCCAGACGCAAAGACCATGTGCAGGACTTTGCCTTCATTTTTTTGGTAATCAAAAACAAGAGATTAATCAAGATTAGATGTCTAGAACTCCTGTTTTAATTTGCCTTGGTAGGAACACTAGATTTTTACTAGAATCATATTAAAGTTTAAAATTCTGGTAGCCTAAAACACGATTAGAAACTGTATTTTGCAAAAGTCCAGGCACAAGTAGGTTTCAAATCATGCACAAGTCCATCAACATTTTTTCACACACATTATCATTTTTTGCTTTCCTTGTGAATGGGTTTGTTTTATTTACACAGAAATAACAGAACATGCGGTTTATTCTTTTTGCATTCTGTGGTCCAACTATTGATGTCCAATATGCTCTCATCCTCTCTCGCTGTTGCTCGCTTCACGCTGTGAGCACAGAGCTCACCCACTTCTGCTAATGAACACATGCCGTAGTAGGCAATAGACTACAGATCAATACACTCGCAGGAAAAACCTCTTTCACTCACATGTACAAGACACACACACACTCACACACACACACTGAGAAACACCATTTTGGTTACCGAGATCCTGACGCTGATTGTGATTGCAGAATGTACGAAAGCAGGAGAGAGGAAGGGAGGAGGAGGAGGAGGGAGGAAGGACAGGGAGGAGATGATTGTGCCACCAGAGCCAGGAAGATTGTAACACCTTAGCAACAAACAAGCCAAGCCTCCCGCCGAGGAGGAGCCACAGAGCGCCACACACACACACACACTCATACACACACATTTCTGCACAGATCGGCAGCTGAAGCAGGATGGATGATGTTGATGAAACTGTTCTGACAGCTGTGTAAATGAAACAGGGAACAGACACCCCACCCGAGAGCCTTTTTTTTTTTTCCCTCCCCAAACATGCATCCATTATATTGCATCTTCCATTTGTCACTCTTCCACACTACTCTCCCTTCTTCTTTCCTCTCCCTGCTGCTGATCTTTCCTCTGCAGTCTCCCCTCATTTAGCAGGTCCAGCTTGTGTGTGTAGCACTGCTGTTTTACCACCAGCCGTTACCCGCTGCCCCCCCCCCTTCCTCTCCTCTCCGACTCGCAGCGAGGAAGATGGGAGGGGAGGGGATGGGAGGGGATGAGCAATAAAAAGCAGGGACCCTGCACACGTCTGAGAGGAGCAGAAGCAGAATCACAGATAGAGAAAGAGAGAAGAAAAGAGGGGGGAAACGAGGAGTGGGATTCTTCTGCATTGTATGGATTGCTTATTGGAATGAGGAGGGGCATGTAGAGGGAGGGGACACTGGAGATCCAGATCGGTGTGTTTTGCGAGAGCTAAGAGAGAGAGAAACGCAGAGTGTGGGAGAGAAGAAGAGCGGTGCATGTGTGAGGTTGTGTGCATGCATGCATGTGTGTGAGAGTGTGTATGTATGGTGTGTGATGTGCTTCAGACTCGCTGAACCTGCGCGGCGGTGGAAGGCGTCGGAGGCGGCCAGGGAGCTGTCGGAGCGGTGACTCGCCTCAGCGACTTCTCCACGCGTGTGTTGTCATGCTCGACGCCCGGCGCGCTCAGAGGACACAGGCTGCAGCCCGGGAGACGGCGAGAGGGGCGTGATGGCCGGACGCACCCAGGCTCGCTCATGCATCTCCAGATTTACACCTAGGCTTCTGTCGGCGTCGCCTTTCCCCGATCCCCTTCAGCCCTCGTCGATGTCCTTCCTGTGCGTCTCCCCGCCGCGCTCTCTGAACGGACGCCGCTGTCAACACACATGTGTGGCTGTGCAATGAGAGCTCTCGATCTGGACTGGTTCTCATACAGCTCTGGGGCGTGCTGGGCCACGCTGCTTTAGGGTGACACCGATGCATTTTTAAAGACTTCACCTTTTTTCAGCTGCTGTTGATCATATTTCTGGATGACGTATGATGCGGGGCCGTTATTATTATTCTGAAATCAATCAATCAAGGTTTTTCGCTGAAGAGGATGGAATGAACAAACGTTTAAGGTGCTGCACATAAAGAATAAGTAAATAATCATCATCAGGAACGAGGCATCCATAATGAAGATTTATTTCCCTCAGTGGCGGTCGGTTTTAATTGGGTGTTTTCTAGGAACAAAAGAGCTGATTGGACTCCACTGACCGAGTGTTGAAGGTTGTCAGGGAAGAGATTTTCTTTCCTGTTTCTGAGACAAATGAAAAATTGCGGTCGTTGAAGAAAATCCGTGACTGAAATTAGAAATTGGAAAACAAAGACGCGGGGATTTTTGGGGAATGGATACAACCAGCAGCCGCTCTGCTGTTGAATCTTCCAAGGAGAAACTTAATCTCCCTCCGTGTAAGTTTTCGGTCACAGTCGTGCCGTCGAATTCTTCCACATCCATTTCCGCTGGCACGCCGTCAGCGGTTCATGTCGCTCTGTCTGGCTTCATTCATCTATTGTGTGTCTACTGAAGCCTGTCCACATGAGCGGAGGCGGCGCCCTGCAGCAACGCACCACCTACCTCATCTCCCTCACCCTTGTCAAGGTAGAGGCCGTGGAGGAGAATGGAGGGGAGGCCAAGAGCGGCGCCCAGGGGAAGGAGGTGGAGGTGGAGGTGGAGGTCGGGCAAGGGGGCAGGACTGGGAAAGGCGAGGATGAGGCGGGAGGTTACGCCCCTGCACGGGCTGAGAATGGAGCCGGGGTTGTTTTAGGACAACCACAAAAGGTTGAGGATGCTGCTGATGGGAAGGAGGGGAGGTCGACTGAGGAACCTCTCGGCTCTCCCTCCGCTGTCGACGTCCTGAGTAAAGGGAGTGAAAAGCCAACGGACAACCTCTCCATTCCTTTACCGACAAAGTCTGCGGAGGTCGATTTCACACGAGCGGAGCAGACGCTTCCACTCCAGAGGCGAAGCAATGCAGGTCGCCCTCGCTGACCAAAACAACCCCGACAGAGGCGGTCGAGCCCAGCCGCACCCCGACCAGGACCAGCCTCCCGATCCGCCCGGTGGGGCAGCGGCCGGTGAGTCTGCTGAAGTCTCACAGCAGCGTCGCCACCCGGGGCCGAGAATCCCGGGAGGGTCGAGAGCGCAGCCCGACTTCGGCACAGAGCCTCGACCGCAAGGACTGTCGCATGCCGACGCGCTCGCCCGGCCCCTGCAGGGCCTCGTGGGCGGAGGCGAGCAGGCCCGACGGATGGAGGGACCTGAGAGACGAAGCCCAAGCTGGAATCACTCTCGAGATCGGAGGTAGCATGGCCGCCGTGATGAGAGACATGCCGAGGAAAGAGAGACTAAAGGCGGGGTCCGCTTCCCTACCTGCGCCCGCGACCCAAGCCTCCAAACCGGCGCGCAAAGGTAAAAGCCGCACGCTGGATAACAGCGATCTGAACAGCCTCTCTGAAGACCTCGGGCTGGCGAGGGAGGCTCAGCAGGCCCAGCAGGGCCAACGAGGCTCCGCGAAGGACAGGAAGATGCTTAAGTTCATCAGTGGCATTTTCACAAAGAGCAGCTCGGGGGCAGCCGGGTCGTCGTCCACAGCGCCTCCTGTCTACATACAGAGAGACTCCAGCGAGGAGGAAGGTAGGAGGTCGCTAACGCACGCTCGACATCTAGAGTTCTTCTGATTTAAATACAGGGAACAGAAATGTTTATGATACTTCCTTATGTGCTGGAGTTTTTTGTGACTGTATGATACAGAAACATGTTCCTTTTCTTTGCCACTCCAACGCAGAACCAGCTGCACAGTACAGTCACCTAGAAGTGTTATGGCTGCCAACTGTAACAACTGTTTTCAAGTAGGAATGAAGAACACATTTCCCATTCCCATTATGTAATTGGTAACCACAGAAAACAGCTGTGTTGTGCCAGCAAGGAATGTAATGTTACTGGGAGTAACACTCAATTAAGCAAGCTCTAGCTGCCGTGTACTTAAGCTCATGGTTTTTGGAGTCACTCTGCTGGTTTTTGGATAAGAGCTCCTCAATTGTTGTGTCTTGAGTTTTTAAATAGGAGACACAGTGAAAGCCGATGTCCAAAACAAACACAGAATAAAGCAGCTTTACTTTAAAAATCAACAACTCTTCAACGCTTGTGAACAGACACAAATCAGATAAATGTAAAAAAAAACAAAAAAAAAAAAAACTTAGAATATAGAAATGTTATCGATTTCTAGATTCATTTATTTGATTTCTTTCTCAGTTGTGACTGACTGTCCAAATAGATGAATTAAGAAAGCAGGATTTGGGCTGTCTGGGAAATCCAGGTGTCTAAATCAGTAACAGAAAAGATAAATATGGTAGCTGAAATTTCCTGACATCACTGTCTCCTCTTCAGCTAATCCAAGTACACATGCATGATAACAACCCATTATCAGAGACACTTCAGCTCCTGTCATCATCAGAGTGGAGCCTCTTCATCTGTGCACAGGCATCCATTTAAAAATGAGTTCGGGGTGGGGTTGGGTGGAGTAGATCTTTTCAGAGAACCCCACACACAGAACACATTTACAGGCTTTAATTCTGTCATGAGACATTTCCTGAAGCCATGTGCGACTACACATTTATGACAGATGAAGCTCTTTGATGTGAGAACTGACAATGGAACCATCTTGGACGGTCTTAATCTAATTCCCCCTCAGAGCGCGGGGCAGATTTCACACCGCTGGAGGGGTAATCTCTGCACACACACGCACACATACGTCACATACACACACTTAAGCAGCGTTCCCAGCATGGGTTTAAGTCTCATAATGAAGCCAGAGGGGAGAGAGGAGCCGCTGGTGGGTTGCACTGCTCCTCACCTCGGCTGTAGTTCAGGAAAAGCTTGAGAGAGAGGGAACAACGTGAGGCGATATTTGTCACCCACGTTTAAAAAGGGAAGAACATTTCTAATCCTGTCTTTGATAGTCCGCCCACTACATGAGCTGCCATCCCTGCTAACTTTTTGTTTTTTATGTCTGAGAGGCATTTAAATATGTCAAAGCGTTCATTTTGCTTTTTTTAAGAATTAGCATCTTCTGTTTGTTGAGTTACAAATTTTTCCCCCTCCTGGCTCTGTGTCGACGACGGCTGCAGCGTTCAACAGAGCGCCTCTTTCAGACAAACATGTTTGCTCAAAGAAAGAGCGAGTGTCAGCCTGTGGGAGTGAGTGAGCCTGTGTGTGTGTGTGTGTGTGTGTGTGTGTGTGTGTGTGTGTGTGTGTGTGTGTGTGTGTGTGTGTGTGTTAATACATTCATTCACTCATTGTGTATTCACACTGTTACACATGCACACTGTGGATTCACTTCAAGTAGTGAGACTAGCCTTGCCAACTACACACACACACACACACACGCACACACACATGCACGTTTGCACACAAACATACTAAGGGCAGGAGGAAGTGTTGCCATGGCAACCGGCAGGACTGCTGCTTCTACTGCTGCTACAGAGGCTGATGAAACAGAGGAGGAGGTGGAGGAGGATGATGAGGGAGCCGTGGTGTGCAAGTGTGTGTGTGTGTGTGTGTGTGTGTGTGTGTGTGTGTGTGTGTGTGTGTGTGTGTGTGTGTGTGTGTGTGTGTGTGTGTGTGTGTGTGTGTGTGTGTGTGTGTGTGTGTGTGTGTGTGTGTGTGTGTGCGTGTGACCAGGCGTTGACACAGGCTGACAGGATTCTGACAAAAACAGATTTAAGTTAGAAAATTGGCGTTTTCGGATGAGAGCTACAGGCCATACATACGGGGGGGGGGGGGGGGGTTGGTTTGGAGCAGAGAGTGTGGATAATTGGCTTTCTGTGGAAATGTGTGTGTCGAAGCAGCAGAAGGATCACACTTGTCTGATCACTTCTGGCAGCAGCAGCCGGCCATAAAGAGAGCTTTGAGTGAGACAGACAGACAGCAGTGTCAGTGCGTTTCTCTGTTTGCGTGGTAGGAGTTGCCCCCTTTTTCCCCCCCAGATCTAAAGCACATCATGAGCGGTTGAATGTGTGAAGTCGCGGCCTAAACGCTCTGCAGATTTACAGCTGGACTCGAATTTAATCATCATCTGTCTTTGAAGGACACGCCACACATTTAATAGCATGCACTACGTCTTTCTGACTAATCTGCCCAATACTCCCCCTGTAGCCTTTCTATGTTTCCCGCTTCTATATGTTTATACTCTCTGTGAACAATGTTAGCAGCCTAGAGGATGAGAATGACGCTCCACTGACCTTTTCACTCGAGCACTATCAGAAAACCAAAATCTTCACTCGTGTATGTGGGAACATCTCAGTACCTTTTTTCATAATTTCTTGCTTCCCAGAGGATTCATAACTCTGCTGAGATGAAATAAAAGATAGAATATCAACCTTATTAGGTCACATCCCAGTTATATAGAGCCAAAATAAAACCAAAACCTAAACTTAGGCCGAACATTTTCAACCAATAATGACAACCAATTACTCAGTATTTGAATTTTAGCTGCAAAGCATTAATTAGCTTCAGTTAGAGCGAAAGCTAATCTAAGGTAGTGTGTGTGCTTTTAAGTGGTTGCCACCTCAAACTTTGTTCCTTTTTCTAAAAACACTTTGGTTACTTTGGCTTGATTTATTCACTTTAAGATCAGCAGCATCGGTGACACCTCTAGGTTCATGACATGTTTATTCTAGAGGCTTTGTCTCTCTCCTCACATGCAGTACTTTGTTAGTTATCACACACCAACTTTTCAACACTGAAATCAAATTCGTCGCCACATCATGATTCAGATGCCGATAAAAAAAAATCTAATTTGATGTTCGCTGCTAAATTTGAATCCCTTAAGTGCGTTGGTTTTTTGACGAGATTTCTGCACAATTACATTCCTAAGCTTCAGCTGTTCTTTGTCTTCTGTTATAAAGAATGCAGACAAACCCCTCAAGCGGTTATTAATTGGACGTCTTTTATTTTGGATTGCGGGCTGGGAGGTCCGAGGTATGAGAGCAGGGTTCTGGTGCCTGGTTTCGTCTTCAGGGTGGAGGTCTCGGAGCTGGGCGTTGGAATATTGAGGTCTTGTAGAACAGAAATCTGGACACAGGAAATTACAAGATTAATACAGCGAAACTAATTTTATAGACATTTTTTGGCACGATAAAGTTCTGCACCACAGGTTCCGAAGGTTGAATACACTCCAAATTGTGTATTGAGTATTGTTGTTGGCTGCAGCTTTGGTTTGAGCTCGGTCGAGGTCATAAAGTAGCAACTCTCTTTTTGTTGTTGTTTGTGTCTCTTTTGGTTTTCCCCTCAGGCTCTTGTCTTTTTCTCTTTTCTCGTCTGAAGCTGCAGCTGGGTGTCTGAGTGTGAGCATCACTTCACATCCAGGGCATGCCACCTCTTCTGCCCCTCAGCGACCTTGGCACAGCTGTGTGCAACCCGACTCTGCTAGATTACTGTACTGTCTGTTGTCTGTGTGTGTGTGTGTGTGTGTGTGTGTGTGTGTGTGTGTGTGTGTGTGTGTTTTCGTCTCTGTCTGTGTCAGTGTGGATGTCCATGTTGTTTGTTCAGCACATTGGAAAACACATTTTTGCAGCCAGCCAAATCAAACCTGGTCTCGTTTCATATCAGGGCTGAAAGGATTAGTTTGTTAGTCAGTTGGCAGAAAATGTAAAACTATGATAATCAGTTCATCGTTTCGTTGGTGTTTCTCTGATATGTGAGATTTGTTTTGGTTTTTATGTCACAGTGGACTGAATAACTTTGGCTTTTGGACTGTTAGACCACAACAAGGTATTTGTAGAGATCATCACTGGCATGTTCACACTGCAAGCTGTAGAGATAAATACAGAGATACATCACTCCAATCCTATTTCTACTCTTAACTCCTTTTCTAAAATGTGACAAATTTCAGTTCCCAGTGTGAACTGGTCACAGCTACTAAAAGGAAGATGTCTAAACCCAGCATGCTTCTTGTATTCTAGTGAACACAGACCGCTAAAGTGAGCCTTTATGTGTTTTTTACTTTTTCATGGAGCACGCTTTGTGGCCGCTACCTCTGCATGGAGGATTCATGTGAGAGCCAGGAGGGTTTGGATCATAAAACTGATTGAATCCATTAATTCAGAATTTGAGGTGTCTGTCAACGCCAGCACAGAATTGTGGCTGATGATCATCTAAAGCAGCAGTTCTCGACTGGTAAAGCCTCAAGACCCACCACCAACTCCATCATGAAAAATCACAACCTAAAATTTCTGACACTTTTCAACCAATCAGATTTAATTAATGAAAAAACTGTGCAGTTTGGACTTCAAACGTTGTAAAACACGTAATAGATCATAGAAATGGAACTAAGAAAAACATGTTCAAAAGGCGCTTTATAGACTTTTTTTTTTTTTTTACAAAATAAACAATCCAGCACACATTTCCACATGACTTCCCTGACGCCCAGGCTCCACCATCGGACTGTGTCGTCCCGACAGCCACCGCCGTCCTCATTCATGCCCGTCCTGCTCCGACCTCCACTTCAGCGACAAGGAAGTGTGGACAACAGGAACGAGAGGAATACAAAGGAGAAATCCTTCCTGCATATTATCCCATATGCTCTGTTTGTAAAGCGCCTCGAGATAACACTTGTTATTTGGCACTATACAAATAATGGTTGATTGATTGACATTTGCGAACCCTTAAAATGACTCTGTGACCCACCAGTTAAGAACCACAGATTTAAAGTGACATGAACGTTTGTGTGCTTTCCAGTTTGACTGTTCAGATCAAGATCACAAAGTAAATAAATCTGAACTGTACCTGATTGAGTACAATGAATGAAAGACTTTGTTCAGACTTCAGGCTAATGAGAAGTTTAAGACAAACATTTAGTTCACTCTCTCATTCAGAAGAGCTCAGATTGGATTTACTTTTCCGAGCATCTACTAACCGATCTGCATGAGCCGCTGTGATTATATTAGGAGTATGATGATGCAGCTTTCCATCCCAGACGCATTAGCAGTGGAGATCCTTAATTCAAATTATTGTGGTGTCGAGTCACTCTGAGAACTCCTTCACTACACCATAAACATCTCTGAAACAAGAAGCTGCTCTGCTGCAGACTCTCTGATGTATTTCTGTCACTCTGGATTTTGTTTCCCCTTTGTGTCTCCTTGCTAGTGACAAAAAAAAAGACAACTTTGCTATCTGATTTTAGCAGCTGAGAGGCATCTGCAGAAATAACATTGGAATCGTATTTCAATCCAGCTCAAAATGGGGTTTAGATCTAATTTGCCAAAAGAGCATGTAATAGATCTTTATTTGCTGTGCAGACTTTCTAAAAATCCAATGCCAAAAAAAAAAAAAACAGAACTGCACTGCAAAAACTGCAGCTTACTTGTTGAGTGTCTTGATATGAAATGTATTATCTTAAATAGTAAGTACATGTCATTTAATGAGGCTTAACATATACAAGTTGCTTGCTGCATTGGCAAATGTTTTTGCTCATTACAAATAATCCAGGCCTTGTTTTTTGTCTGGAAATGGAAATTAATTAAAGGTGACATCTCCTCCTCTTCAACCAGTTTAAATAAGTCTCAGAGCTCCTCAAAACATGTCTGTGAAGTTTCTTGTTCTAAATCCACTCTGATCCTGTATTTGATCATGTCTATAAACCCCTCTATTTCAGCCCTGCTCAGAACAGGCTGTTTCTGTGTCTGTACCTTTAAATATGTAAATGAGCGGTGTCTGACCACGCCCCCTCTCTGGAAGGGCTCGGGTGTACTTAGGCTTTCTCGCTCCATGTCCTATTGTTTTTACGATGAGACGGCAGACTCAGAGGGCAGAACAAACACTTAGCTGTGGGAGTGTCACCCACCTGGGGGAGGGGCTACTGCCCTTTGTGATGTCATGAGTGGAGCAGGTAAAAGACAGAAAGGATGGACTTTTCTCATCATTGGTTGGTTTGTAGACAGACTAGAGACACATATTAGAGTCAGAGAAACATGGTGAATAATATGTGACCTTTAAGTGTAGTGAGATCATTTATGACTAGAAAGTAGAGACAAACACTTGTTCAGGTTTAAGTTTTTGCAGTGTGTCTGGTCAACGAGTTGTATCAAATCCAAATGGACAAGACTAGGTTCCTTTTGTTTATGCTTTTCAAACCGCCATGAACACTAGGTCTCACCTATATTAGAGAACAAAAATCAGATTTAGGGAACTAACGCCTGCAGTCAAGAGAAAAGCGTGTGAGAACATTTTGATGGGCCGTTTTGACTTTTCACAGCCTAAAGGTAAATCAGTCAATCAATCAGAAAAACACTCACCAACGTCACTAATCGTTAGTTGCAGCTCTAGTTGGTTTTCATTCAAACCCACTGAGGACTTTTTGATGTTTGATTGGCAGCTGAATTTAACCTTTCAGTGAGAGCGTGGTGCAGACGCAGCTGCCCGTCATTTATAGCACATGGGAGGCAAAATGGCTTAATGACTGGTGTGGCCGCTTCTTGTGTGGATCCCCTGCTGTCACTTAAAGGTTATATTCATTAAGATGACCTGCTAGGCCGTACGTGTGCTCATAGCTAACAGTCACGCAGCAGCTGTGTGATTTATCGCTCTCCCGCAGGACGCTATGATGGCTGCCCTTTTTACTGTGCATGATCAAAATGATGAATCTCTCTCTCTCTGAGTCTCTGCATCGCTGACTGTTTGTCTCTGTCTGTTTCCCTCCAGTAAATATTGCCAACAGCCAGGAGTGGACGCTGAGCAGAGCCATTCCCGAGCTCAGGCTGGTGAGACGAGAATGCCAACACATGCAGCATGCACACTCCTGAACCACAAACACAAGAACATGTTCAATTTCAACTTATCATATATGTGAAATTTAATAACAGGGATCTAGAGCGAACAAACTAAAGATTTGAATTCAGGTCCAACTGCTTTTTGATGCTCCGTAGGTTTAAATACCCAAGTAAACAAGTTTTTAATAAACAGATCTTAACCCAAAGCAGCGGAGAGAGAGAGAGCGATAGAGCGAGCACTGTCTACATTTCAAAAATACATTAGCAAGGTTTCAGTACAGATAACTGCACACTGTCTACCTATGTGTGCAATGTAGACAGTGTGCAGGAGTTTGGCTGCAGTATTGGTCACTAAAAACAAGAATTGTCTCAATATTTTTGTTGCCATGGTATTGAAAAATCGTTCAATCCCTAGTTTCTACTTTACATCCTTTACATCTGACCTCCATATTTAGATAAACTAAAACGAGATGTAATCAAATGTCCTGAGCTGTTGATCTACTGACAGGAAGAAAAAAACTGAACTAAAAAAAATGACAACACACTAGAAGGAGGAAGTGAAACATTTTGGCCGAGCTTGTTTTAATTCAGTCAGAGGTTTTTATATTTTTGAAACATTACACTGAGATGTGTGTGAACTTCACGGTGCTGTATTTCCTTCCCTCTTCTCTCAGGGCATTCTAGGAAGTCTGAAAAGTGGCAAGTCAGCACTGGTGAACAAATACATCACCGGCAGTTATGTTGCACTCGAGAAGTCGGATGGTGAGACAAGACGAGTACATCTTCTTTATTGTGTGACGTGTGTCCTTTTACTAGATCAAAGCTAGGAAAAAAAAAATGTTGTAGCTTCATGATTAAATACTAAAGTTATTGTTTTGTGTCTCCTAATGAATTATTCTATCACAGAGTAGATTTTATGAAGCTGCGTTATTTGGCTTCTTCCTGTCTCTGTCACACTGCCGCTAGCTTCTGAATCTCTTGTCTGTCATTGTCACTGTCCTTGTCAGGCGGAAGATATAAAAAGGAAGTGCTGGTGGACGGACAGAGTCATCTATTACTGATCCGGGAGGAGCCTGGTCCACCTGATGCACAGGTGCTTTTTTGTGTGTGTGTGTGTGTGTGTGTGTGGGCGAGTGTGCCACAGAGAGAGAGAGAAATATAGTAATTAGTATGCAGAACTGAAATATCTGCAGCCTTCATCATCAATCATCCTCCTCCTCTCTCTCTTCAGTTCAGCAGCTGGGTTGACGCAGTGATCCTGGTCTTCAGTCTGGAGAACGAGGCCAGCTTCCAGGAGCTCTATCAGTACTACAGCCAGCTGAACGCACACCGCACAGACATCCCCGTCATTGTGGTGGGCACCCAAGGTCAGAGAAACAAATCACAGACGTGCAGATTTACATATCATGAGATTAAACCAGTGTGATTTGAATAATAGTCAGAGGACAAGGCAAAGACAGTTCGGTCCCTGTTTTGAGATTCTGCATCAAAACGCAGAATCTGTGTGTGTGTGGGATCAGATTTTTGTATCAGATATGTTCATTTGTAGGACAGCTTTAATGTCCACTAAGTGTTTCAGTATGAATTGGTTGTTCACTGAATGCAATCCAGTTAAACATTGGGAGTTATTTAATGATGATTCATCTTTAAATCAAACGTCTCTGTGAATAAATGGAGAGAGCAATCAGTCTTTAATAAAAGATCAAATATGCAGGACTGTTTTACAGTTTGTCACTCACTGATCTTGTTTTTTCTTTCCAGATAAAATCAGCAGCACAAACCCCCGTGTGATCGAGGATCAGAGAGCCCGACAGCTGTGCATTGACGTGCGTCACTCGCTGTTTTACGAGACCTGTGCCACCTACGGGTTCAACGTGGACCGAGTCTTCTCCGAGGGTGAGTGAGATCGTGTCTGTGTGAGTCACCACGAAGGAAACACGGCTGTTCAGTCTGTGATGTTGTAAACAAAACCTGTGACACATTCTGCTGATAGTCAGAGAGGACTGAAACAGAGTCTGTGTGTTTTTTTTTTGGTTTTTTCAATCAGCCGCTCAGAAGATTGTAGCTCTGAAGAAGCAGGCGGCGCTGCAGGCCTGCAAGTCTCTGCCCAACTCTCCAAGTCATTCTGGAGGCTCCACACCTGGATCTGCAACGTTTCCTGGACAGGTATACCTCATCCCAACAGCTGCAGTTGTTTTTTAAATTCCATGTTATACTCAACATTTTGACCCTTTAACCAAAAGTGTCAAAAACAAAACACAAAAACAACATTATATGTTACTATTCTTTTTTTTTCTAAACATTTTTTATTGAATTTCACATTTATCAGAACATATACAACATTTATATATGTTAAACATAAAACACCCCCCCCCAAAAAAAAAATAGAACATGTGGCAGTATATTAATAACACAAGAATAATGAAAGTAATTTGTAAAATTATTCAAATGAAAAAATAAATAAATAAATAAGTGAAATAATAAACATAAACAGTCACATTTATATGTTACTATTCTACATAACATTTCTAATGTACTGACCTAATGGAGACTAATCAGGCACTCACACAGTAGATGAGTGTTAACATCTTATTCTACAGGGGAAAAAATACTGAAGACAAATATTGAAGTTTTTGCTCAACAACATATTTAGAAAAATAATATTTTATTACATTTGAACACACAGGACAAAGAAACACACACAAGACGGCAAGGACTCATATGAGCAAAAAACAGACCACATGGGATAGAAAGACAATTAAAAAAAAACAACAACAAACCATCACGTCCAATTTCTCTAATGATAGAAAACGTTTGTGTGAAACCAAAACAGACCTGGGGCGCCGGTGGTCTGGTGGTTGGTGCGCGCGCCTCATGTGATGGCTGTGGTCCTTTAGGGGAGCCACCTCGACCCTCTCGCTCGCTCTCCCTCTCACCCCTGATTTTTGTCTCTGTCCACAGTCCAACCTCTAAAATAAAAAAAGCATAGCGGCTTGTTTTTGCACTGGTTCACCCGCAGAATGAATCCTCTCGGGTTCTGGAGACCTTCACTTTAAGATGTGAATTAAAAATCAGAGCGTTAATATATTCAGGTGCAAAACTTGTTATTGTTCCTCTGTTTGGGTAAACACAATCTTTTTTCTAGTCTAGACAGATATTACATAAGATGTGTTCAAAATAGGACACAGATGAAAGTGCTCTGCTGGTATTCGCTGCAAAGTTGAAGTCGTTTCTCACTTTTTGCTGAGCATTTTATTTTATTTTCTGCTCACTTCCAGGAGAATTTTAATGATCCTTGACATTTTTTTTGTGTGAATATGAATTAAACATTTTCTCCTTTAAACAACATCCAGTACAACAGAGTACGAATTATTCTGTGTAAAAAAAAAAAAGACTGAGAGTCAGAAGACAGATTTTGAAGGGGTGGTAAAAATGTTCATCTGAGGAGGAGACGCGCATTATTAAATGAAAATCATCCATCACCCTGAAATCTAATTTTCCATCTCCCAAGACCGGTCCATCACCTTCTCTCCATCCATCTCAGCTCCATGAGTATCACGTTCCTGCTGGTTCATGAGAATCAAAGGCTCAAGAATTCATCCATCGATCACAAACCACTTTGTGTGAATCCATGTCACCGGTGTTTTATGGTGCTGTGTCGATGTTCACCCTCAGATCTGTGAAACTCTCACACTTGATCTTTTTTTTTTTTCTTTCACCCATGAGCTGCTCTCTGTGTCCCAGTGAAAGCAAAATACTTCACATGAATCTTGTGTCCAGGTGCCAATCTCTTGATATAAGGATTTTGTGAAAAATCAAGGGAGGATTTGAATGGGGGAAATTTACTTCTGGAACCAGAGCCAGAGGAAAAGTGAGCGGTCACTGTTGAGCTCTATTAGACAACTTCATACAAGAACTGCAGTTCTTCAAGTGTCCACTTGAGGCTTACTGCAACAGAAAAGGAAAACCTATCAGGTCCCATATTAAAATGCCAGCAGAAATGTAAAGCTCCACCTCTTTGTCTGTTACTGGATTGATCAAATGGAATTTCCAATTTGGGGAATTTCATCGTTGGGCGTCATCGTTGGGCGTCATCGTTTGGTGCCCCTCTAGAAACAAGTAGGTGACGTCACTGAGACTACGTCCTAGTAGCAGCTTAAACAGACAGTGTATTGTAAAAAGTGAAGGTGCACAATTTAAACAAAGGAAGTGCCTGTAAGTTGCGTAAAATAACACAAATCAAAATCCTGAGTGAAAAAAGTAAAAAAAAAAAAAAAAAAAAAAAGGGTCCCATTAATGAAAGGACGAAGAAAAGTGCTGCAATTGAATTATTTTCATATAAATAATATATTGGTCTGGTTGACCATAGACTGTATAAAACAAGGATATTTCTAAAGAGGTGTTGTGAAGTCCAACAATGGAGGTCACCATATTGGAAAAGCTATCTCCAAATTGCATTCATTCATTCATTCTAGTAACGCTAAGCATTAAAATACATTTTATGTCAATTTCCCCGTTGTGGGATAAATAAAGGATTATCTTACCTTATCTTATCTTAATCAAAACAGGGGTCACGGCCCACAAAGTCGGTTTTGCAGCTTTTTTTGCGGCTTAATTTGTAACAAATGTTTCATGTCATGTACGTCTACGCCTGCTACTGGATGCTTTGAATTTCCCTCGGGATCAATAAAGTATCTATCTATCTATCTATCTATCTATCTATCTATCTATCTATCTATCTCTCTATGGGGATTCTTGGCTTTTAAAGTGAGCCTCATGTAAAGACTTGAGGAGAGGAAGTTGCTCATTGGTTTCATATTTCAAGACTGGAGGTTGACACTTGGGAGCCTATTATTGTTCTTGTGAGCTACGAGCACAATCATAAGAAACAATGTGGACAGATCTCATGAGAGTATTTTATATATCTGGGGTTTTCACGCATCAACTCATCAGCTCATTCTCACTCTCTCCATCTCTCCCCTCACACCACCATCGACATCTCCCCCTTCGCCTCCTGACCTCCTGACCTCTCGCTGTCCCACCACTCCACTCCACTCCACTCCACCCTCCTCTCAGGCCAGTAATGGTCCGAGTAGCGGCTACGCTTACTCCCTCCCCTCCACCCCTGTGGTCGGCCACAGAGAGCTGCGAGTGGCTCAGGGAGAGGGGGTGAGCAGCGTCAACTCTCGCTCGCTGAAAAGCATCCCCCGACGGCCCTCTCTCTTCAAGGTCAGTCGTTCACCAGCCCACACCTTCTACTTTTCCCGTCATCTCTCACAATCATCTCACTCCATCTGCATCCGACTCCCTCTGATCAAATCTTCTTCCTAACACATTTCTCTGATTTCTTTCAGAACCGGGAATCAGATAAGAAGTCCAATGATGCTAAAGGAGACCAGAGCAGCATGCGGGGCGTTCCCATCAAACAGGTTTGGTAAAATTTTACAAACATTACAAAAAACCTGAACATTCGATGACGTGGGTGTTTAATGCTTCAGTCTGCACAAGCAGCCCAGGAACATGTACCAATTCCCTCTTCAGCAACAATGTAGGAACAAAAAATAAAACGTCTTTTTTCATCTTACATAAGCAGCAGAAAAAAAAAGCTTTTGTTTCATCCTTTCTCAAGAGTGTTCTATTAATACTGCGCTTTCAGCGTTTGTTGTCGAGCCGCTCTTCACACTTTGAAGAGATCGTCTCTGCCGCGTCGACTCTAAATTTAGGTAGATTTGTGGCTGACCTTGGGTTTGTGTTTTTTTTTTGACAGAGCATCCTGTGGAAGAGGAGTGGGAGCTCTCTGAATAAGGAGTGGAAGAAGAAATACGTGACCCTGTCCAACAATGGCACGCTGTCCTACCACTCCAGCTCCAGTGTAAGAGAACACCGCCGACGGATCAATACGGCAGTAAAAACACAAGACAAGATTTAGCACACCCACATGATATCTGCAGCTTTTTACATTTCACTGCAGTTTCAGCCTCGATGGTTTCAGTGCAGGCCCTTTCGTCTTTAACAAACCTATAATTGCTTTGAAACTGCAGCTTACTATTGATTTTTTTTTTTGTGATTTAACATTTTGAGTCTCTGAACAGGAACCTTAATGTAGCTCAAAGAAAAAGATAAATCAAAAAGACATTAAAGGAGGATTTAAAAGAGCATCTTCATGACTTACAGTGGACAAGCAGCATCCACTTGTTAAAGGCTTTATATGATGTTTTGATCCAGCAGATGTCGCCTTGAGCACCAGCATGAAACCAAAACAACTCGCGCTGCATTGTTGTGTTAGCATGCTAATGCTAGCGATCTTTATTACGCTGGTATCTTCACGCTGCATGTAAATTTACCTGAAATGAGCGTGATCTAGAAACACAGTTAAGCAGTGAGTACAGTATGTTATTCTTCTTTTCTCTAGTCCCTCAATTAAACAACTTTTATACACGAGGGGAGGAGTCAGCCGGCCGTCCGGGCGATGTAAACAAACTGAAGATAGGACTCTGAAAACTCTGAAAACATCACAGACAGTGGGACTCGGGTGTTACACCCATTGTAGACAGTCATGACTCACAGAGTTATTTTCAGAGGATATACTTGATTTATATTACATTTAAGTGTGAAAAATCACATATAAAGACTTTAAGCCCCTCCCCCAGACAATTATTGTCCAGTGATGACTTAGCAGCTGTAGCCAAGAATGTCAGGACTGCAAAAGCTTCTTCGCTGCATTTTGAAGTGATAGGCAGGATTAGGAGAAGTCTGTTTGCAAAAATTTAAATTCTTATCTTCTGAGATTTTAAATGATAAATCATAAATTCTAAAAATCAGTTTGTTTTTTGGGCTAATCAGTCACTCCCTGCTAAGTGCTAATGCTAGCTCTTTAACTCAGTAGAATGACAAATGGGGCAGCAAGACATTCAGCCGGTCTCACAGATGACTGGAGTAGATCCTGAAGGATGGACTTATTGAGAAACAGATTTTGAATCATGAATCGTTTTGAATCGAAAATAGATTCTGAATCGAATCGTGAGACACCCAAAGATTCCCAGCCCTACAGGGACAGCGTCTGAGCCTCTATTAGCGATAATCTCCTCCTGCTCTGGGTTTTCTTTGTCAGATTAAATTCTGTAGAAGTATGCATCCGAATACTCTTTCATTTAAAAAAATAAAACTAGTTAAAACAGATAGTTCCTCTGTTATGACACCAAACTGTGCAGATTGAAACTCTGCCACAAGATATTTTCTTCTCTTCCACTACGAGTGACTCTCACAGTGTAAAAATAAACACTCTAATACTGTTTGTGATATTTTGGGGGCTTTCAGGACTACACACAGAACATCCATGGGAAGGATATCGACCTGCTGCGCGTGACGGTTAAAGTTCCTGGAAAACGTCCCCCGAGAGCCGTCGCCCCCGTGGGCCCCTCGCCCGTCCCCCCCAGCTCTGTACCCGGCGTCAACGGGCTGAGCAAAGAGCCGACGGCTGCTGATAACACCAGCACAGGTACAGCTGCTGCTGCTGCTCCTCGTGTACATACACAGAGCATTATCAGATCTGTTCTGTCGTTTATGAATGTCACTGAGGCGGCGACATTTCAGTGAAAGGACAAAACTGGCAGGATTTTTAACTTGATACACAGAAACTGACAAAGTGTGAGTCTGTCTCTGATGCCGTCTGGACTTCTCAGGTTCAGGTAACTTTATTTGTACATGTAGGTAGATTTGTTTGCAGCCAGCAAGATTGACATCCATCAAGACACACAGATAACTAAACAGATGAAGCATTAGAGAGACGGTGAACTATTTAAAACCGACTAAAACATGGTTTAAAAAAAACACAACTCTCTTGTGTTGCAGCCAATTTGACATTCAATCCCTGAATTTAAAGTTTGGTGTGTTTTCTCTTCAGAGCGAGGGTTAGGCTTGGAAACCTCAGCAGAGTTTTTCAGCCTTAAACCCGACCGACACCATGAACGGTGACGACTTCTTGCACAAATTACATGCATGCTCTTTGACATAAATACTGCAAAGGCAAGCGATAGCGATATCAATTTTATTTCTATATCACATTTCATTACAGCTAAGCTCAATGTGCTTTACATTGAGGTTAAAAACAGAATCAAAACACAGCATACAAGAGAAAGAAAGTGTTTCACAGTCATTAATAATTCATACACACGACAAAGCAAACATCAGTTACCACAAAAGTGATCATACACACACACACACACACACAAAAAATAACTATTAATTTGCTTTGGAGAACAGATAAGTTTTGAGTTTTGTTTTAAAAGTAGAAACAGGAGTAATGGACCTGAGGTCAGCAGGGAGTTTACAGCAAAAAGACCTTCACCTGATGACCTGAGGGTCTGGGTTGGGTTGTAGAGCTTACAGTAAAACTATTTATGACAACAGGTGATGGAAAATAAACATTTTGAATCGACTTGGGTGTTAGCTAACTAAGTACTTAAAGATGTCAATAAAAGATATAAGAACGGTAGGACTCATACAACATACTCCACAAAATAAACGTTTTGTTTCTTGGCTCTTAGTTCCTCAGTTGTGTCCAGCCACCCTCTCTGTGGTGGACGACCGCTCGTCTGGAGGTTTGTCGCCTCAGGGCGGAGAGCGAGCTCTTCATCGCTGCTCCTCCTCGCTGTCCACTAAAGCACAAAGTGTCGGTACGTACTTTAAAAAAGATCAAACTCTCAAATCAGACGCCCCACTCTTTGTAAACCTCTTCACACACACACACACAGTATGATACATATTGATTCATGATGTTTGTGTCTGTCATGTTAAGATGCCCTCGAAGGGGTAGCCAGTCCTTTTGGCGGGAAAGACCCCGGCCAGGCGTCCCCCATGAGCGACAGGAAGAAGAACAGGAGGAAGAAGAGCATGAATCAGAAAGGAGACACGGCCGTCGGACAGGCTGAAGGTGACAGAGATTAAAGTTCCTAAAGATACAACAACTATCAGTGATAAAGACTTTCTATGTTCTCTGTATAAAATTACATTTACTCGGATACTCTGGTCGTGAATATCTGAAAAAGTAGTGCAGTTATCTTTATTGCAAATCTATGTTTTCCTTCCCTTTTCCTTTTCATCACTTAGATTTGAGTATTAACAGACAGTACATAAACGTTACTCTAAATTAGATTGGAGGTCTTTCTATAAGAATTGTTTGTTGATGGTCTGACTCGACTGACCCGATACACTAGAGCAGTGCTTCCCAAAGTGTGGGCCGTGGCCTCCTGGTGGGCCGTGTGGGTACTGCAGGCGGGCAGTGAAAAGCCCTCCACCAAGTATAAAAATAAAATAAATATCACAATACTGATGATTGACCACGAGTCAACCCTTTAAGTGATGAGTAAGACGTGTCATGACTATTCATGGACATAATGTTTAGTAAACTTTTGTGTCTATCTTGACATAATATCATGTTGTCATGTCCAATAATTGAACCCTTACTGAAAGTTATAGATGTAGTCATAAAAAATGTTTTATAACGGGCCCCGGAGTAATTTAGTTTTTCAAAGCGGGCCGTGGCAGTTTTAAGTTTGGGAAAGGCTGCACTAAAGGAATCCTAACCTTAAAACATGCCGAGCACCTCAAGAAAAGCAAAACTAACAATTAGAAGTCTGCCCAGTCTGAGAGAGAGACAATGTTTTGGGTCGCTTAAACATCGGGAAATATCAAAGGAATATCCAATAATGATTGTGATATTAGATCATAAAGCCTTCTTTTAGACAGAACATCTGGTTACATACAGTATCCACATCATTTACACACTCCTTCTCCTGGTTTTCCTTTTCTTTGTTACAGAAACGAAAACTAGTTCTCTGACATTTTTGGGGGTTGCTTAAACATCAGAAAATATCAAAGGAACATCTAATAATGATTCTGTAGTGGTATTGGATCATAAAGCCTTCCTTTAGAGACTGCAGCTTGATTGTTGTAGTCAGCATTTGGAGCTAAATAATGTGTGTACATATCCACATGATTTACATACTCCTCCTCAGTGTTCCTCTTCCTCCTGCCTCTACTAGTCTGCCTGTGTCTCCTCTGTCAGTCTGAGGATTACTGAGCATCTTTCTCTGAATATTTCTTAACTTGTCTTCTTCTTCACTCTCTCTCTGTTTCTCTTTTTCCCTCGTCCCTGTGCTTATCTCTCGCTCTGCAGCCAAACGCAAAATGTGGAAGTTAAAGAGCTTTGGTAGCTTGAGAAACATTAATAAGACAGGTAACAAACGGAGGCTGATGGAGCATCACCCCTCCTCTCTGTTTCTTCTTTTTTCACGTCTGTGCCCCGACATCCCCTGCCTGAGTTTGTCATGCGACTTGTTTGTGTTGTAATAACGAAGATTTTTCACTTCTCACCTTCCATCAGACTTCTACTTCATGTTGTTTTTGCTTTTTTATTTTGGAGCATCTTTCACATAAATCCATAACAACCCCTTCATATTCATGTTTGGTGACTAACATGTCTATTCAACATGCATCCGTTTGACTGTGATCTGCTTCACTTTCACTCTCAGAAGAGGAGAATGCAGACTTTATCGTCGTGTCGTTCACCGGCCAGACGTGGCACTTTGAGGCCCAGAGTCAGGAGGACCGGGACTCGTGGGTGTCGGCGATAGAGAGCCAGATCCTGGCCAGCCTGCAGTCCTGTGAGAGCGGCAGGAACAAGGTACACACATTAAAGACCCCTGAATAACATTTTTTTTTTTTTTTTTTTTAGCAATTAGCAATTTTGTTTTAAATTAGCGACCCTGAATGGGAAAAATGAGGCTCAGTTAGTTTAGTTTAGTTTAGTTGCACATTTTTTGAAAGAAGAGTCAAACAGAAAATTAAAACAAATAACAAATAAAACCTGTGCAGGTGAGGTAGAAACCCATGAGGGCTTATCTCAAAACCTCACCTTAAGAGATTAAACAAAGTTAAAATAAAATACAGTAAGAATATTTACTATCACAAATAAAATTACCCAATTGCAAATTAATACAAACATTGAAAACATAAAAATAGAGCAAAACAGGACATACAGTATGTAGACAATTCACTATTCACTACAAATCTTTCTGACATCAACGCATTTCTGAGTCTCAATTTGTATCTAGAAAAAGACAAATCGAGTAAATAAAGATGCGTGTTCCATAATTTGACTCCACGGTATCTTATTGAGTGCTCGAGATGTACGACACATTGGGAGGTTGAGGTTATTGATTTGTCTAGTTGAGTAAAAGTTCACTTGAGAATTAAAAATGAAAAATGCTTTAAAGCTTTCTGGCAAGTTTGCGCTCATGTATTTAACTTTAAAAATAAAGCTACTTATTTGAAGAATATTAATATCAAAGATTGTCAATGTGTTACACTTCAGAAAAAGAGTTGGTGGAGTCGTCGCCTCTCAACCGGAAGGTCGGGGGGTTCGATCCCCAGCTGAGCAACATGTCCGATGTGTCCTTGGGCAAGACACTTAACCCCGCATTGCTCCCTCTGCCTCGGTGGCGGTGTATGAATGGATTAGTGTTGTTCTTACTCTCTGATGTACGTCGCTAAGTGAATTGTAGAATTGTAGAAAAGCATTCAAGATAATGAATGGAAAGTGTAGGAGCCAATATAGTGTGTGTGTATTTATGTATTGTATTTAATGGGTTTTGTTTATATGTTTATTTATTTACTTAATTTGGACACTAGGTGGTGATAACACAACGTAACGCAAGTAGGCTATTTAACATAACAAAAGAACGACAACCAACAGTATAATCTCAGAAATAACAACTCATCATATCATCATCACGGTTTGTCTCTGCTTCATACGTGACAATAAACTGGAACATCAGAAAGTACTTTAATTTTGGACATTTGTTTATTTTTTAAGAACTTTCCATACACGTATGCAAGTGACTAAAAGCAAGAGAAGAAATTTTTGACATTAGATAGTCACTACAGAAAGTTTTGAATATGTGATTGTTCCCAGCACATTTAGTTTATATCTAAAGGAAGCCCACTAACACAGTCCTGAAGAACCAGGCTTGTTTTTGTTTTTTTTCAGAGTTGGCAGCAGAAATGTTTTTGCGGTAAAATGAATAAATCCTGAAATGAAAAGTCATCTTACTCCTGCTATCTGAAGCCCCACATATTTATTTAAGCCATGCATCAGGTGAAATGTGGGTTTTCATTTCTCCCCCTTGATGTCAAACCTGAAGGTGCTTATTTAGTGTTTGTGTTTGTTTGTTTGTGTCATGGTGCAGGCTCGGCGGAGCAGCCAGAGCGAGGCTGTAGCGCTGCAGGCCATCCGCAACGCCAAGGGCAACGGTCTGTGTGTGGACTGTGAGGCACTCAGTGAGTACTGAACCGTCGGCGTCTTTGCCCCCCGGCTGCGGATCCAATCTGGAGAATAATTCAGCTTTTTGAGCTTTCAAAAACAGCCTGTGGTCGTGTCATTGTTCACATCCAACGCCGTCTTTCCTCTCGCCCCCCCCCCCCCGCAGATCCCACCTGGGCCAGCCTCAACCTGGGCGCGCTGATCTGCATCGAGTGCTCGGGGATCCATCGAAACCTGGGGACTCACCTGTCTCGCGTCCGCTCCCTGGACCTGGACGACTGGCCCGGCGAGCTCACTCAGGTCCTGGCTGCTATTGGAAACTACATGGCCAACAGCATCTGGGAGAGCTGCACGCAGGGCAGAACCAAACCCGCGCCCAATGCAACCCGGTGAGTAAAAACACATCACAGCAGTTATTGGAATCCATTTTTGATAAATGCATTCCCCTCCTTCTGAAGTCTCCTTTGTGTCTGTTTCTAAAGGGAGGAGAGGGAGTCGTGGATCCGCGCTAAGTACGAGCAGCGGGCGTTTGTTGCAGCTCTTCAGCCGGTCTCGGGGCCTCCGCAGGACGGCATGCCGCAGTGGCTCCTCTCTGCGGTGACCGAGAGAGATCTGCCCAGACTGCTGCTGCTTCTGGCCCACAGCACCAAGGACCAGATCAACGCTCGCCAAACGGGGTCCACTTCGCCGCCTCACACCGCCCTGCACGCTGCATGTCAGCTGGGAGACGCCGTCATGACCCAGCTGCTCGTCTGGGTGGGTTTTCTCCTTTCTCTTCACGTTTCTGTTTCTTTTTTTTTTAATTTAGGAAAAGCATTCTTCACACATTAGTAATTACACATAATAGCTCCTCCCTCAAACTTTCAAACAGAAAGAGGGGGGGTACGATGCTCGCAGTATATTTAACAATTTAGCTCTTCCAAAGAGTTTTTCATACGCAAGTAACATGACATTAATTAAATTGAAGTTATTTACAAAAGAACACAGGAAGCTTTCACCTTGGAGGGCTAGAGAAGGACAATAAGGAAATTAAAGACAGAGCAGGTTAACGGATGAAAGAAAATGACAAAAATGAGGAAATAACACCCAATGTACTCCAGTAAGTCAAATCAAATCAGGTCTTATAGGTTTGACATATTCAGTCCATTTGGTCCATATCCTGTAAAATCTATCCTTCTGGACTTTGAGGGGAAATGAGAGCCTTTCCATAACATATATTTCATATATTATGTCTATCCTCTCATCAATAGTTGTTTAGTGATACTGTGTTTTTGCACTAAACGTTTTTGGATAGGAAAACTGCAAAGCACGCAGACCCTAAAACTAAGGCCCGACCGATTTGGAAATTTTGGGGCCGATACTGATACCGATATTGGGGAGAAAAAAAAAATCTTATACCGATATATATTGGCCGATATATTTCTTAGATCTATCTTTGATCCGTAGACATAGATAAAGATTTACACATTTATTGAATCGATCCTTCAAATGCAGTAATCAAACACTTGTGGAAAAGATTTATAATGAAGACAAATGGTCACTCACTGGAAAGTAACTGCTCATGTGCGTACGTCAGTTACACTCTGGAGAGTGATGATGTTTGTTGTAGTCTGTGTAGCGCCCTCTGCTGGTGAAAGAAAACTGCTAGTGTAATACAATGAAACTCAAATGAAAGGCTCTTTGACTGGTGAATAAATCGAGTGATATCAGCGCATATCTGTGATAAAAATTAGCCGATATCGATAGTCACTGGATATGCTGCTATCGGCTGGTTGATTTATTTGTCGGGCTCGAACTAAAACACTCCTTTGATCTTCACTTTGAGCATGAAATCAGAAACATGCAGAAGTTAAAATACAAATAACCCAACTGTTGAATGAGTTATTCCTAATGAAGAATGCCTTCTAATGTGATTAAAAATGTTTTTGGTGTAGCTGCTGTGTTTAGTACCATACAAACGTTTCTAGAGAAATGTCAGCTTCACACACTCAGACAACACCAACATCACATAAAGGTTTAAGTATAGGTAGCGTAATATCAACTCGTAAACTCCCCCCCGAAAAAAGAGATTTTGATTCCTAAATAATCTGAACTCTCTCCCTGCTCCCACAGTACGGGATCGATGTGAAAGTGAAAGACGCCCAGGGCCAGACGGCCTTGAGGTTGGCCAGGAACGCGGGGAGCAAAGGCTGCATCGACATCCTGCTCCAACACGGCTGCTCCAACGAGACGTCCCCTCCGACCGCCACGCCCGTCCTCTCCCGCCGCTCCAGCACCGCCAGCCTCGGCCGAACCGGCTCCAGGAAACGGTAGCGAAGAACGCCAGCAACACACAGGAAGCAAACCGGCGACTACTGGAGGAAGTTTTGTCGTTTCAAAAACCTTTTAAAAACAGCGGACTTTTAAGAAACATGGCAGGACTTGGTCAGAGGAAAAAAACAAATGTTTCTGAAGACTGAACAACATATCAAACAACTTAAAAAGCAATATCCACTGAATTTGTTGATAACCGACATATTGCTGACATGCTGTGTTGTCGTTGACCTCATTTTAAACATGACTCATGTAGAAGTTTGTAGCTCCTGTCGTTTTAGAGCAGCCACTCAACCTGCTGCAGTTTCACTTCCTCTCAGATGAAGTGCAATAATCCAGCTGTGGCAACAAGTTTCCGAGCGAGGCGTGTCTGAGTGTAATACATCGAGAGGGCGCTGCTTTTATCCACATATCGGTTGTGACTGGACCAAAACAGCGATTTCTTTTCTTGGGCTTACAAATCCAACCTAACAGTATGTCATGTTGTTCCTTGTGTGTGCGTGTCGCAGCAGTATAAAGGTCCGATATAAAACGTTTTCAGTGAAGAATCAGCCGAGATTATTCTGCTTAGACTAGAAAAAACTGAGTGGGTTGGGAATATGAAATATGTCAGTGTTACTCTCACAGGTCAAAGATAATGGCGTTTTAAAAAAATTATGTAAATGTAACTATACTACATACTTAATGTTCAACTCTGTAACTTAAGACACGACCGAAAAATCAAAGACTCGATTTTTGTAAATGATTTCTACTGGTAGTTTTGGAGATGCGTCAAGTTTGTTTCTCATTTGTCTCATCATTTCTTATTCTCCTTTTTGTCATGAAGAAGCATAAACCTGTGAACAGATGCTTTGACATATTGTAAACATGTGGCTGTTTGTTCCAAGTTTTTCTTTAGGATGGCCGGACGACAGCAGACAGACGAAGGACAATGTTCATGTTCCTGTTGATGAGTTTACAGTGAAGTATGAAGAGTCGCGGGTGTCGTCGTTAACTTCTGACACTTTGTGGGTCGTGTGAATCCTTCATGAGCAAAAAGAAATGGTTACTGGAACAAAATAAAGTTTTTTTAATTAGCATTATTAGGATGTTTTGTTTTGTTTCTGTCTGTGCCCACCTTCTGTACGTCACTGTCGTTGAGTTATACATTACAACACATGCTATAAGATACGATTAAAGGTCGACTCTGTTAGATATCTCCTGAATGAAATGATAAAGTGACCTCACTATCTGATCAGACATTAAGGAAACATGGTATGTTGAAGTGCTGGCTTCTCTGACAGCAATGCAGCAGCCAGTATGTCCTCCTTCTAACTTTAGATTCTGCTCCTGAACGATCTGGATTTGTTTGGACCAGAGAAGGTAGAACCTTTTAAGGCGACCCCCCCCCGACACACACGGCCGTTTTGGACGCCCCTCGGTTTGCCAGATATGAGAGCAGTTATCAGGTCAACAGGTGTTGCAGCGATGGAAGCGGTCAAGAGAAGTGGTTCAGATAGAAGTGATTGTACCCGACCTAAAAAGCCTCTGCATGTTTCTAATAAGCTCCACGAGCAGAAACGTGCTCAAACTAGGATCAATATTGGAGATGCTTTTGAAAACTGGAGAGAGGTTAGAACACAGAAAGGTTTACAGACCCATGCAGACCCATTCCAGAACTTTTAAAGACAATTTAAAGCTTGCATGTAAACCACATAAAGTTCATGGTTCATCTTCTGATAAAAATTTGACATTTTATGCAGAATTTCTAGATTTTTTAACTCTTTCTCTCCTTCCTGCTCGTGTCGTTTTGAACAGTATCTCTACGTAGCTGCCATGGAAACAGCCTTCCTTAAAAAAAAAAAAGTTGTAAAGATTATGGGAGGCTAATAGTCTTTGATTAAAATGATTCTTTTTTTGATGGTCAGGGATATCTTAGTCAAGGAAAATTCATTTTACGTGTTTATAGTAGGCCTACTTGTAGTTTTAAAAATATAACAAACATCCTTTTAAAAGCCTCAACTCTTTTAAACCAAACATTTCTCGTTTTTTTTATATCAAAACTACAGAATTATCCATATATTTTATTTTGCAAATGTTTCTGTGAAAAATACATTTTTTTTTATTTTTTTTTTAGATTTTTTCTAATTAATTTTGATATCTCAGGATAACAGCGTTTGGTTTTCCCTCCATAACGAGTCTAATGTCTCAGGTTGAATCAGACTGATTTTTAATTAAAGCTTTAATGTGCTTGGCATGCTCTCCAACTGTCTTTCACTGATCACCATGTCAGTACCTCATTAAGTAAGTAATTAAGTAAAACTTTATTTAGCACTGAGTTACAAAGTGCTTCACAAATAAAAGATATAAAACAAATATTAAGGAGGAAAAAAAACAGATGAATAAATCACAGTGTCAAAAAATGTTACATAATGCTACATAATAAAAAAGAAGAAGTAGAGCTTGTCATGTTTTTGGATCTGTAAGCTGTCTGAGCAGCTTCCCTGCAGCGCCTCATTCAACCTGCAGGGGGCGAACTTTCGGACACATTTGTTGACATACGTCATCAACATGCGACGGAGCAGCAAAAGGGTTGTAATAATAACGTTTATAATCCGTGGACGACCACCGGAAAACAAGACACAGAGAACAGAAGACGATCCGTCCCCCGGTTTAACATCTTTCAATGGGTAAGTGACGAGAATGAAGCAGATCAACGAGTTTAGAATCTCGGAGGAGATTTATGTCAGGAGTAAATATTAAAACGTGTTTAAATGTTAGTGAGCAGGAGATGTTAGCTTCGTGTTGGACTGATGACAATAAATAAAACAAGTCAAAGTACTAAACAAGAAGCAACAACAACTATTAAAGGAAACAAAGAAATACACGGATAAAGCTTTTAAACACATGTTGTGTTTCAGTTTGAATAAGAGAGGAGAGGTCACGTTTCATCAACATCACTGAGATTTCTTTGTTCTTTTAAGAAAAGTTTTCCTCCAAAGTGTTAAATCTCTTCAAACATGTCTCTTCTCATTTATAATTCATTTGAGTTCTAGTTTGAGAAACTGCACAGCCTGGTTTTATGGAAAGCTTGTTGCTTGTTGCTTTCTCTGTTTTTATAGTAATAATTGTTTCAGATATTAATTCAATCCAAAACCTTTACGCTGAAGTTTCTCTCACTCACAGTTTAAAATCAGGGACACAAATAAAAGTGAGTAGAAAAGAAAAATCTGCAAAAAAGAAAACAGTTATATATCCAGAAAACAGCCAGCAACACAGAAAAAAACATCCAGCAACACAGATAGAAAACATCCAGCAACACAGATAAAAACAGGCAACACAGATAAAAACATCCAGCAACACAGATAAAACATCCAGCACACAGAGATAAAACGGATAAAAACAGCCAGCAACACAGATAAAAACAGAAAACATCCAGCAACACAGATAAAAACATCCAGCAACACAGATAAAAACATCCAGCAACACAGATGAAAATCCAGCAGATAAAACAGCCAGCAACACAGATAAAAACATCCAGCAACACAGATAAAAACATCCAGCAACACAGATAAAAACATCCAGCAACACAGATAAAAACAGCCAGCAACACAGATAAAAACATCCAGCAACACAGATAAAAACATCCAGCAACACAGATAAAAACATCCAGCAACACAGAT